TTGGACTTTGGGGAGTTTTTATTCCAAAAGAAATAACTTTTAATCTAGCGGTTTCAAAGCGACAGGTGTAGCTGTGTTTTTGAGGATATTTTCTCAACTTCATTACATGCGAAAAAAATAAGCAATCTTTATTTTGTTCTTTAGTTGACGTCATTCAATTGTTACAAAGTGGTAATAAGCAGTTTTTGATGGAACGAGTAAGGTATGGAAAACATAAGAATAAGCTTAAAAAACTCATTTATGCCGTCTACATTTGGTTTCGTTCCTTCTGAACGGTAATTGTATATCTGCTGCGTTTGTACGCGAAAGTAAAGGTATCACTCTTGACCGGAGACTCGAGATAGTAAGTAATAAATTTGGGGGAGGGGGGTTAGCTGCTAGCTAAAGGGGATTGGTTCTTGGCATCTTTCGTTAGAATTCTTGTCGCTGCTCGGGAGCTCGAAATTTAGTTCCAGAAGATTCTTGAGCGTAAATCTGCTAGCGAGAAAAGACGATGATGTATCGATTATTAGAAGCAGATTGGAAAAAGTTTATTGTATATGTACTGTTTGGCATAGGTGACATTCGTTTTGTAAAGAATCTGTTATTTTTGGTGTGATTCTGAATCTAAAACGGTCAGCTAATTATGGAAGTTTATTTCTCAGGACTAAACTGAGCCGGGTGAAGTACGCTAAAAATTTGTTGTCTAGTGTGTGTTATAACTGCAAGCCTCATGAAGTAAATATCTTATTCTACGCAGATTTTCGACGCGTTTTCATAACCGGTACATCCTAGACGAACACTAATAACCGATCACTCCGCTTATTTTGCTGTTTTGCAGTTCTGAAAAAAAGTTTGAGTTAATTACATGAATTTTTTTTTCTTAGTTGATGTGATGCGCTTTGTAAGAATTTTTTCTTTTTTAATAGCGCGCAGAACCAAATAACAGCAAAGTTGTATTTTAAATGCGGAGCTAGCACTTGAGTTGGAAGTTGTTTGTGGTTCCAACTTTCTAGAAATTCTAGAGATTTTTCATTTTGGGTTCTGTTGCTGTTTTTTTCACCTTTGCACCCGATTATATGGTTGGTTGGTATGGTTTTTAATCTGCTGGGGGTTAGGCTCGCGTAATAGAGAATGAAAGAGAAATAAGACAGCATTGCTTTGCTAGACAATATTTTTCAGGCTTTTCCTGTAATTTTTTATTTGATTAGACTTTCACTCTGGCTTCTACCAGTTCTCTTTATTCTGTGGCTAGTCTTAAATTCTTTCCTAGCACTTTTTGATTATTTCTCGAAACAATAACGTTGTCGCTTATGTTGTCAGTGCTACTTTTTTAAGGTGGTGTTCCCTTTTGAAAATTTTCCCGATCGGTTTTACAAGATTTGTTGATGCTCGTTCAGCGTAGTTCAGGATTTTTTAGAGAGAAGTGGGTTTTGTTGGTTTGATTATTTGTTTTGGTTATTGATGAGTGTAGAAATTGAAAAATCTGATTAGTTGGTAATTCTGTAGTCCTTACTGATCTGGTTTAATGAAAAAGCGATTTATTTGTTGTAAAACAAAGAAAAGATTTCAGAGGTTTTGAGTGGGAAGTTTGTCGGGGTGGTTGTGCTGCTGCTGATTAGGCTATAACTGATCATTTGAATTTTCGGTTTCGATTCTACAAGACAGTGCGCCTACCTGGTTCTTTAATTTTCCCAGTTATTATATTCTTCTTTCATGGTTTTTTTGCCTTTGTTGAATGAAGTTTTTTTGGTTATTACTTTCTCTAAAGCAGTATTTGGTATAACTGGATGAATTTACAAGGAAATTTTTTCATTAGCTTGCTGCAGGCGACTGGATGATATGAAACGGTGATTCTCTTTGACAGAAACCTGCGCTGATTTCCTAGTTCTTCAAGTCTTTTCATTTTACAGGAACCATTGGCTGGTTTCTTCTTGCAGTTAATCTGTAGATCTGAGTATGCTGTTTTCTTTAAAGCCGTTTGGAAAAAGACTTAAGGCTTTGAAGATATTCTTATTAAAGACGACGTTATTTAGAGACAATCGTAATAATGTTATTTTGTTCTCTGGTACATGTTTAAGAAGAGTCGCGGTTCTCCTCATCATAGATTTTTGTATTCGAACAGCCGCGGAGGTAGATACGAAAGCTTTGTAATTAGGGGAGAGTTTCTTAATCGCAGTTGGCTAGGGCTAACTGATGATGATGAGGTACGTGTTCGCGTCTGTGTGTTCTTGTTTGCCCGTCTCTCTGTTTGTTTGTCCTCCCAGCGTCTGCCTGTAAGTGTAGTTGTGGATGTGTCTGTTTTGGCCGGTTGCTCGCAAGAGGCCTGTTTGATTGTATTAGTGTACATCTTCAATAAAGTATGCTAACTTGCGCGAAAGATATATATATATATATATAT